ATTTCCTTACAGCAATTTACTGTTTAAGTCCACTTTTTCTTGTTCGCAAGCATTTAGAAGTAGTTCAGTTCGTCCTACCATATCAGTCATGATTTCCTCTGAAACTTCACCATATAGTTCATGAAGATGTCAGCCATGAGCCTGTGTCTTTCTTTAGTGTGTCCACAGCATCTAGCGCCAGTCCTTGTTACTTGTGGTTGTCCTTGTCTGTCACTCATCCTTTTGAAGTAGAAGCCAGCAAACTCGGGGGATCTTCTCTTCTCATCTCAGTGACAGTCTACATCCAAATTGGCTTTTGGGCAGGGAGAAGTGGAGACAATTATTCCTTTGACATCAAACATTCAAAAATCCTTAAAAGCATAAGCAGCCTTGATCATGCATAAGTGTATGTGACACTCTTTGATTCAGTGGTTTGTTGATCTTCAGACTTCAAGTCTTAAGTCTGATTACTAAGGAATTTACTTTATTCCCCATTTACGTGGTACTCAAATGTATAACCCCAAGATTATGAGTGAATGTCAAACATTTTGTTCTGTTATGAAATTGTGTCAAGATGAAATCAGATTTGTTTTATGTACTTGAGGGCATTCACAAACTCATAAACTGATCGACCTGTTGTTTGAGCTCATACACACACTCTCTTTAATCTCAAGCAGTGAGATATTTCTATTGAAGTTAAATCCCCTTCTCGTGGCCTGGGAGTCTTTTTGAGTATTGTATAAGAGGTAATTTACTCTTCAATTAAGTTTGAGGGACTCTGAACTGTCAGCTGTATAATAGGGGCCGCCTTGAGTTACATTGTGTTGACCTAAATGATTAGGTCATCTTTTTTTCTGTGTACACAAACGTGCATTCTTCTGCAGATTTCTCAAGCCTCTGCACACTCCGCTATTTTGACTTGAGAAAAACCTGACCTTAACTGCTGCTGGTGCCGTGTGTGTGTGTCTTATGCAATTGGCATCATGCCTAGCAGTTTGTTGTCCACCAACACTGCCCCCTTTGAGTCACAGAACAGACACTTCTTATGCCAGCAACGTGTGGGACACAGCTGTCCCCACACTGATCATATGACCAAACAGCAGGTTGGTCGGTTTGAGAAAACTACATGCATTGCTTTATCACTGCTTTGTCTGGAATCCAAATACGCCCACAACTGACCCCCCAAAATGGGCTCAAGCTTAGAAATTGGTGTAGGCTTAGTTTATTCTTTGTTTATTATGTATTGCTTTATTTCCATGCCAAATTATGAGCGAATATGAGGATGTGAGTTGTCTTTGAGTCTTTGTGAGTTTAGTTAACATTTCCATGCTAATCACCAACTTTCAGTTCACAATGAGTCCAGCAGATGGAGACATATGCTGTTGTACTGTTTACGGTTGGACGGTAGTAAGGTTTGTGCCTGAGGAGAACGATCCATATCTTCCCATTCATCTCAGTGGAGGATTGATTCTCTGCTAGCATAGGCTGTCATCTTTTCCTGGAAACGTTTGTTAGCTATGTGAATGCCACCCCTGCTGAAAAAAAAACAGACACCATCACAAAATTTGTAATGGTTTTATTGGTAATGGTGGGGATTGTACTGGTTTTAATCTGTTTTTATACAGTCTATCGTTTTAATGGAAAATGTGGTCCTTGTGGGTATCTACTGGTAATCGGTCGCCTTCTGTTGGTGGCTTGTCTATCTATCCCACAGACTGCTTGTCCTTTGTTGGGTCCAGGGGCGGACTTACCCATTAGGCAAAGGTAGGCAACTGCCTTGGGCCCCCAAAAGCCAAGGGCTCCCTAAAATGCTATTCATATATATGCGCATTAAGCGCTGACATGTGAACGGTTGCTGTTTACGGTGTTCATTACCACGACAACCATCCGAGTTGAACATGCTTTTTGTGTATCCTGATTGAAGGAGATGAAAATATCATGCATCTGAAGCTGTAATTAAATATTGAGAAAAGGTGTGTATTATATGTTTATAATTGTTTTAAATGCCGCTTATT